AAGGGGAAAAAAAGACCTGTTTAACCAGACTTGACAGATTTCGAGGTTCGACTTCCCCTTTGCTTTGCATGTCCTCACACTCCACATATAATTTGTCTTTTATTGACACCAAGTGTCCGTCCCGCCCATCAGTGCTGGTCAGGGAGGGCCACAAGGAGGCACATCTGAGCCCTCCCATCATGGCCACGATGGGTCTGACACTCCTCCTCACAGCCAGAAACTCAGGTCTTTGGGGTCCCTTGGCCAAGAAGGGGTCCGTTTTCTGGGTGGGGGCAGGGTTTCACTGCTGGCTGGCAGCCCTTGGTGGTGTTGCTGACTTTCTCCTGTCTGGGACCGTTTTCCCTCTGCCTGCATCTCCTTTTAACTTTTCCTTTATTACTTGGTGACAAAATGGCTCCATTATTGCTGGTCAGGACCATGTTGTGGTCCTGTCTTCATTCTGAGTGGCATGGGGGCCTGTTTTGGTTGGCAGTGTTCCCACACGTGGGGGTTGCTCCTCCCTGTGCCCGACTCCACAGGGGGTTTTCTCTAAGCATCCAGGCTGGGCCATCTGGCATCCCTGAGCCTGCAGACCCGTCAGTCCGGGGACGTTCTCAGCTTCTGCTCCACATCCCCTCCTACCATGTGAAGACGTGGAGTAGATGTGCCTTCGGCCTTTTGAGAGTTTCCCACCTCCCTTACCTCTTGGTATTGGCCCCTTTTTGGTTGCTTATAACAGAATACCTAAAACTGGATAAAATGCAGAAAAGGAATTAATTTCTTACATTTTTGGAGGCTGAGGCCCAAGGTCAAGGGGCCGCAATGGTTGGTGGCTATGCAGGCGTCCTGAGGCTGGGCGGAGCTGTGGCCGGCTCTCCTGTCACAGAGCAGTGGTCCCTCTCCCACCATAGCACACTGATCTTCTAGCTGTTCCACCCACCCATGAGTTTGGGGACAGATATTCAAACCCTTTCACCCCCAGCCCTCAATTGCACAAGCTTCTCGTGTGCACACACAATTTCTCCAGCCCCACCATCTCAGGTGTCACTCATCCCAGCGCCAACTCAGAAGTCTTAACTCTAGGGTCTCTCATCTGTGAGCCTGTGATGGTAGTGGTCCAGGCAGCGTCGACTCTCCCCCCCCCCCAAAAGGGATGAAAGGCAAAAAGAAAGGACTGACTGGCTGGGCAAGCTGACACCCAGTAGGCAGACCATGCCTCAGAGCAAGGACAACCTCTCCTGACCATGAGCGGCCTCCAGACACACTGGGCAGGTGGCCCATGGCTCTGCTGTGTGCAGCCACATGGCTGACTTTCCCGGGCAGCTGACACCCTGGTGGTGTTGCAGTCCTGGGCGTGGGTATGGTCCTGCTCCCAAGGCTGCTCTGGGTACTGCCCCGGCTGGGACTCTTATAGCTGCTCTGACCCCACATTTCCTCTCAGTGCTGCTCCACTGGGGCTCCCTGAGGTGGCTGTGCCTGCCACGTCTCTGCCTGGGCTTTGACATCTGGGTAGAGGCTGCCAAAGTCGCGGCTCCTGCCTTCTGCACCACCGAGGCCACAGGTCAGTCTGTACTGGGCAGTGTGAGAGCCCTGCGGCACTAGGCTGGGGGGCAGAGCTGGAGCCCTGAGGCACTGGGGGTACAGGGCTGGAGCCCTGCAGCACTGGGTTGGGGGTAGAGCTGGAGCCCTGAGGCACTGGGGGTATAGGGCTGGAGCCCTGCAGCACTGGGTTGGGGGGCAGAGCTGGAGCCCTGAGGCCCGTGGTCGGGCTGGAACCCGGTGGCACTGGGGGGCAGAGCTGGAGCCCTGAGGCACTGGGGGATGGAGCTGCGATGTAGCCATGGGCAGCAAGCCTGTGGAGGGTCAGCATCTGCCCCCACATTGACTCTGCCTTCCCAGGACTCTGGCCTGTGATAGGAGGGCTGCCTGGAAGAGCTGGTGTGCTCTGGGGTCTCTTGCTGTGTGAGCTGCAACACTCACTCACCACTCACTGGCCTCTGTGGCAAATGGGCTCTGGGCTATACCCCGGTTTCCTCTCCTGAACAGCTTTTTCACTCTTCATGTGGCCAAGCTGAGAGTTTTCCAAGTCTTCATGCTTTTCTCTCTCTCTCTCTTTTTTTTTTAGAGACAGAGTCTCACTTTGTCATCCTTGGTAGAGGACAGTGGCATCACAGCTCACAGCAACCTCCAGCTCTTGGGCTTAGGTGATTCTCTTGCCTCAGCCTCCCGAGTAGCTGGGACTACAGGTGCCCTCCACAATGCTGGGCTATTTTTTGTTGCAGTTTGGCTGGGGCCAGGTTGGAACTCGCCACATATGGGTCGGTGCCCCCTCCCTGGGCCACAGGCACCACCCCTTTTTCTCTCTTTTGAGTTCCATCTTCAAGTCATTTTTTCTCCTCCTTGACCTTAACACAAGCAGTTTAAAGTAGCTAGGTGGCAGCCAAGTTCTCTGCTGCTGGAATATTCTCCCAGATACCCCAGCTCATCATGCTCAAGTTTTGCCTTCCAGAGCCCTTGGCCAAATTCTTTGCCAATTTATAACAAGGAAAGTTTCGATCTGGGCTCCACTACCTCATCCCTCAGCTCCTCAGAGACCTGGTTGGAGAGGCCTTTGCTGTCCATATTGCCATTAGCATGTGAACGCGGTTGCTTGGCCAGTCCCTATAGAACTGCAGCCTGTCCCTGGCCTTGCTTCCAAGCCTTGCCAGAATTGCCCTGGATGCTCCAGACAGGCTCATGGAAACACAGGCATTTTCCAGGCTTTTCCTCCAAATGCTTCTGGTCTCTGCTATTGCCCAGCTCGGAACCTGCGGCCCCATTCTCAGGGTCATGTCAGCAAAACCCAGGCCTGAAGCCAGTTTCCTGTCTTAGCCCACTTTCTGTGGCTTAGAACATGTGAAATTGAGTAATTTATGAAGAAAAGAATTTATTTCTTACAGCTAGGGAGCTGAAAGTCCCAAGGTTGAGGAGCCACATCTGGCAAGGACCGTCCTCCAGTTGGGGCCCTGGGGAAGGCCAAGGTGGCGCAGGGTATCCTGGCGAGTGGCTGAGCATCTCACGTGTGGGCTTAGGCCTCTCCCTCTTCTTACAACCTGCCGCTCCCCTCAGGTGACTACCCACTAATCCACAAGTGGGTTGACCAGTCACCTCTTACAGGCCCACCTCTCAGTACTGCCAGTGGGGGTTCAGTTCCAACATGAGTCTCAGAGGGGCAGATGTTCGCCTACAGCTCCCTGTTCTGTCTGTTCCGTTTCCCAACCTCCCCAGTTTCTCAGGTGCAGCACCTTCTCCGGTCTGTGCCTCGGCACCATTGCCATCTTGGGCTGTGACCACACTTCCTTGATAGTTCAGATATTGGATTGGGGATGCTTGCAGGAGGCCAGTAGGTCCTTGAGGCTGCCTCCACCCAGGCATTGAGACACAGCAGATTCCACTGCCTTCCAGAAGCTTCCAGCTGAATCCCCCAAGGCCCAGGACCCAGTGGGCGCCCTTGAAGGGTGGGAGTGGCAACTGCTCCAGCTTCCAGCATGGGGCTGCCCTCCTCCTGGCTGCTCCAGACGCGGCTCCTCCCCTCCCCAGGGAGGCTCGTGTGCAGACCAGCCCCTATAGTGTGTGTCTGCAGAGTCCTCCTGCTGGAGGCATGCATCTCTCCAGGTCTCACAGCTGGTGAATTTAGGAAGATGAGTTTCTGTAGTTCACCTGGCTCTCCAAAGCCTGCGGGCTCCCCCAGTCCCAACTCTCCTACAGGTCCATATACCTGATTTCTGAAACAGCTGGAGGTGGAGGAGAAGCAGCCTGGAAGTGTGGCGGCTCCCACGTGTCAGGCCTGGGCAAGCACAACCCTGCACTAAGCACTGTGTGTGCTCCGGTATCCTTGGCCCCCAGTGTCCCTGTGGGGCAAGCCCTGCATTGTCTCAGTCACAGGGAGACATGGGCTGTGACCCACCCGTGTCCAGATCATGGGCCCCAGACTCACGGCCTGAGCCCATAGCTGGTGCTCTGGTCACAGATACTGCCCACCTGGCTGTTTGTCTGTTATCTTGCCCAATAACCACAACCTGGAGCAGCCCATTTTTTTCAGAGACCAGGTCTTGCTAAGTTGTCTAGGCTGGACTTGTGCACCTGGGTTCTAGCGAGCCTCCTGCCTCAACTACCAGAACAGCTGGGACTGCAGGTGGGTGCTACTCACCTGCTTTAGCCACTTATATTCCCCAGCCCGTCTCTGGCATCTTCCTCCAAGCCCCATGTCCAGGACAGGACTAGCCCCGCACATCTCTAGGTGGACATGATTCTCACCCAGGAGGTTTGCTCCCTCTGGGGATGCCTCACATGCTGATGCCACCATGGGGGAGTGCTCCCAAGGCCTGCAGTGGAGGCAGGGCTGCTGCCCCCAGTATGATTTTCCAGCCAATAAAGCCCTGTATGGAGGGATAAGAGAGCAGATCCACCCTGGAGAGGACCATGGAAGCAGCTGTGAGGGAAGGGAGGGAGGAGTTTCCACCAGGGCACTCCTTCGTTTTCTGTGATTCATGAAATTTCATTAAGTTCCTTTTCTTTAAACACTCCAGTTCATACCTACTAGTCCAAATAAAAGCTGTAATGCTCTGTAACCGACTGAGACAGGAAAGTTTCCCGGCCAGACCAGGGTCAAGGAAGCTCCTGCCCTCACCATGACCCCTGGGGCCACCTGGGTGTACAGTGCCATCCCAGCTGAGGCACAACCTCAGCACAGCCTCTATCCTTGGGCTGCTGTCAGGCCCTAACTGCAGGCTCAGGCTGGGCATGTGCAGCTGTGATGGCTAACCGTACTGCCACCTAGCAAGTGAGCTGCTCCTGTACCCACAAACCCGGTGAGGGTGCCTGGAACCCTGCAAGGCCACAGGGCTAGGAAAGGGCAGAGCAGGTCTGAGCCTAAGCTGGAGTGACATAAGGGACTCTCCTCTCTTAGGCTTGGGAACAGATGGCTGCGAAATCTGTCTCAGAGCTGGAGAGCAGGGGCAGATTCAGCGATGTCCCTGTACCTTGAAAGTGGCGGCCAACCTCTGCTCCACGCTGGTACGCAGGCTGGTGAGAGCCCCGTCCTGGCGCCTGAGCCGATCCTGCAGCTGCAGCAGGGCTGCTAGCTGCGAGCTGCTGGTGTTGGCCGTGGCCGTAAGCAGGACATCCCGCATTGCCTCTGAGGCCGAGCAGCTCTGCAATAGACAGGGAGAGAGGGGCATGCTGGAGCCTGAACTGCAGCTACTCTGTGCGAAGCGTGGTGGACAGGGCTGCAGCCCAGAGGAGGACTGGCCAGGCTGTCCTAGAGCCTGAAGTTGTGTGCAGTCAGGCCTGCTCCTTCTGCTGGCCCTTGTGGCTGGGTCTCCGTGTATGCCCACTGCGGAGACCTGGGTGGGTGCACACGTGAGCACTCTGAGCCACAGGAGCACGTGGTCGGCAGGTTCTGTTGGCTCTGCAGGACAGCCAGGCCCCGGGGCCAGATCTTCACCCACTGAGCAGCATCCTCAGGACAGGGCCTGGCTCTGCCTGGAAGGAAGGACCCCCAGTGAGTGACCTCCCATCCCAAGGTGCACAGATGCAACACACCTGAGACAGTGCCAGGAATTGGCAGGTGGTCACAGGGTCCAGGGTGCCAGTGCACTCTACCAGCTCCAGGCTGGCGGCCGCGGCAACATCCATGAGGCCACTGCCCAGGGCCACGTGCAGGCACTGCAACAGCACCTCAGACGCCTGGGCCAGGAGCCGCCGGGCCAGTACCATCTTCCGCTGTGGGCATAGGCTTGGCTCAGGCCAGGATCCGTGGGCACAGGCCACTTGAGGGGTGTGGGGGCAGCACTACCTTCAGGCCCTCGTTTTTCTTGCTCTGCTCTCTGGAGGCTGCTGTGTCAGCCGGCAGGTCCCCTTCCGACTTTTCAACGCCCTCTTCCTCACCTTCCAGCTGCAGAGATTAGAGGCTGTTCAGCTTAGTGCCCACCTGATGAAACACACTCAGCTGTCGGGGTGGGCAGATCACCCCGCCCTGGTGTGGTCGACACTGTGGGGTCCCTGGGGAGGGCACCACAGACCACAGGCTGGCCTCAACCCCACACTAGCCTGGTCACACTCCTGGTCACTCTGGCTTAGTCCTTTAGAAACACCTTCCTACTTGGTGCCACAGGGTGGGGCTGGAGGGTGAGCTAGGGAGCAGGCAGACCCCAAAGAACTTGGATTGAGAGGGAGCCTCTGGACTCAGGGATTGCTAGGTATCACAATCCTAAGTCTGTGTACACCCAACAGTAAAGCTTTAGAACATATGAAATATCAGGCCAGATGTTGTGGTTCCTGCCAGCACTTTGAGAGGCTGAGGTGGGGAGATCTGCCCTTATACGGAGGCACCTGCCTCACCACCCTAGCCACCTGGGTGCCAGGAGTTTGAGATCAGCCTGGGCAACATATCTATAGACACTATCTCAAAAAAAAATTAGCATGTTAAGCAGTTTGGTGAAAATATTTCAAATTATATATAAAACCAGCACACCGTACCCCATGATTGAATTAATGTACATAGGTATGATTTAATTAAAAAAAAATTAGCCAGACAGGGTGGTGGCACCAGCAACCCTGGCTACTCAGGAGAGGGGGGAGGAGGATTACCTAAGCCCAGAAGTTTGAGGCTGCTGTGAGTTGTGTCTCAAAAATAAACAAAAACTATATAAAACATTGACAGAAATGGAAGAGGAGCAGCAGACAGACCCAGGTCCTAGGGGTGAGTGTGACCTCACTCAATCGCTGATGCTTCAAGGAGATGGAAGCCAGCCAGCGCAGGGTGGAGGTGGGGGTCGGCTGGCAGCCTCATCTGCCTGACCAACGTGCACCAACAAGGCCCGGCCAGGCTGCTCAGTGTGGGCAGCACCGACCAAAACTGACCCGTGCAGGGCCACGGCAAGCCTCAATGAGCCCCAAGGATGGAGACGGTTTTCTAATCACAGTGAAATTAAACTACAAACCACCAACAAAAAGATGTCTGTGAAAAACACAGTTGCCTGGAAATGAAGCAATGTAATCATCAAATTGGTCAAAGGAGAAATCACAGTGGAATTTAGGAACTACTTTAAACTGACTTAGAGAATGAAAATATTGCACATCAGAACTTGGGAGACTTGTCTAAAACAGGGCATGGAGGAAACATACAGCCTTAAACACAAAAAGGCAGAGAAGCCTTGATTTAAGCTTTGATTTACCACTAATCATAGCTGAGAAAAGTGGGTGGGAACAAGTCAAGGAGAGCCTGGAGGCAGCCAGGTGGCCAGGGCAGGGCAAGTACCTCTGTGCCAGGGCTGACCCCTGGTTCAGGGCTGATGCCTGCCCTGCCCACAGTGCCTCCTGGCAGGGTCCTGTACCACTCTCTATGGGAGGACCCCAGATCAGTGAGGAGGGTATGGGGGCTCCTGGCTTCACCTGCCTGAATCAGAGCTACCTTGCAGGGGCTTAGCACATTCCAGGGGAGGGACCGACATCAGTACACTGAATATATGTCAAGTCCTGTCCCAGGTCCTGAGGACTTAGGACACACAACATCTCAAGGCTGACCAGAGGGCTGCATGGTCACCTGGTCAGGGAGCTGCCCCAGGCCAGGGTCCCATCCCAGAGGGTGTCTTCCTGGAGGAGCTACAGTAGGGTGGGTGCTGTCCAGGATGGGCAGGCAGGAGCAGGCTTCCCTGTTGGGGGGGGGGGGCTTTCAAGGCCCAGAAGTGGCCTGGGGCGGGCTGAGTGCCTGGGTGCCCTGGTAGCGGCTTGACTGGGTGGGTGGGCAGTGTGGGAAGGGCTCACCCAGCTGCACACTTGCACAGGGTCAGCACCCAGCATGCAGGCCATCCAGGCCATCCAGGCCATCCACGAAGCTTCTGAAGAGCCACTGAGGCAGGAGAGACACCAGGAGCCACGGCCTGCTCCCCACTCACCAGTGCTGGGGCTGGGACAGAGGTGGCTTCCTGTGTGAGGGTATGGGGCGTCCACAGCCTGGCCTCCTCCCGCCCACTCTGCACCAGGGCCCTTGTTCTCTTCTTCCCTTCTCCATTCTCTCTTACTTAGCTGCACCCTTCCCTGGGGAGGATGCCTGTCTCATGCCCAGTTTTACTGCTGAGCGCAGGGGAGTTTTCAGCCTTTGCTTTTATTTTAGACATCAGAGGGATGTTTATAGCCAGAGTTGAGGGAGAAGCCGGGGCACTTACCAAGAGGCACTCCTCCCAGTAGCAGGTGGGGCGCACAGGGTCTGCCTGCACTGCCAGCTGGTGCAGGGCCCTCCCGGCCAGGCCCAAGAGCTGGGCACGGATCTCCACGCAGCCCATGCACAACGGCTGCAGACTCCCCAGCTGTGCCAACACTGTGTGTGCCAGGGTGCGCTTCAGTGCCAGCCACTGCTGCAAGGATACGGACATGCTGGGCTGCCACCCTGCGGCTACAGCACTTCTGCCCACCTCCACCCTCTAACACCACCTGTGAGTGGGGCGGGGGTCCCACGTGGTGGGGGAGGGTCTCCAATGTTCCCTTGTTTAGCTTCAGAGATCACTAACAAACCAGGTTTAAAGCTGGGAATATCTTTGGCTCATTTACGTTTACATCAAATTAATTTAATTCATATTCATGATATCTAAAGAAAGTAATTATTTGAGGCAGATATAGGCGCAGGAAGGAGGGCTGCAGGGTGGCATGGAAACCCCCATGCAGCCTGTATTTTATCAGCCAGTTCAGGGCCTCAGCCAGCTGATAGTGTCCTTCCTGCCCTGTGCTGCTCAGGCAGGGTCCCCTCCAATCCACACCGCCAGGCCCCTGATGGGACAAGCCCTGTGGAGCACCCCGGGGCGTGCGGTTACCAGGCCAACAGGTGAGTATTCGTAGGTGCTCCTCAAGTAGTCAGCCAGAAGCTTCTCCAGGGAGCCCTGTTCCAGCTGCTGTGCTTGCATCTGCTCCCAGATGACCTGCAGCATGTCCAGCGAGGCCTCCACCAGGCCCAACTTGAGGCGGGCAAGCTTCCGCATCAGGGGGCTGTTGACATCCTGCAACTGACAGGGTAGGGCGTGGTCAGAGCCCCAAGCCAAGGGGTCCCAGCCCACCAGTAGCTGCGCAGAGGCAGTGAGGAGGGCACAGGTCTCCTGAGCACATCCTGGAAGCCACCCACCCTCAGTCTGTCCACCTGACCTGTCCTACACCCCCAGATCGCCTCATGTTCCTCTATGATCTCTGGCAGGACAAATCAGTCCACACTCCCACAGTTGTACTAAGTGGCATCAGAGTCTACAGATGCCCTTGTCTGATTTTGTGCAGCAGGATCATCCCCTGGCCCTCCCTTGCTGCTGCAGGCCAGCCCCGTCCTCTTTCTGGCCACACAAGTCCCCTGTGCAGCATGATGTATCCCCGACTGTGGTTTCCAGTTTGGCAGCTGCAAATGCAGCAGCCACAAACCACGTGCAAGAGTTTCCGTGGATATTTGCTTTCACTCATCTTGGGTAAACACCCAGGATGGAAGGCCAGAGCCCACGGGAGGTCTATGTTTAGATTTTTGTGAGGCTGACGCTCTAACCAGCCGTGTGGCTGCCCAGTCCCACCACAGTGTGCAAGGGCTGCAGTGTCTCCACGTCCTGATGACATTCACTCTGGCCAGTGCACTTGTGATGGGGATGCAGTGGCTTCTCATAAGGTTGTAACTTGCATCTCCCTACCTGACTAATGGTGTTTATCATCTTTTCATGTGCTTATTTACTGTTACATATTCTCTGTGAGGAAATGTCTGTTAAGATAGTTTGCTCATTTTTAAATTAGGTTGTTTGTTTTCTTGTTAACTTTTGAGAGTTCTCTATATGTGGGTCATTACAAAAGTTTTGAGACACACAAAAATCACAAAACATAAAATCAAAAGGACAGAAACAAATGAAGCCTTCCCGCCAACATTGATAAGCTTAGAGAGTTGCTATCGACTATTTCCTGAAAGTGAAATAATGGACCATAGCAGGGTCTGTCTCAAAACCCACGTTCGCTCTCAGCACCTTTATCAGCCACTCTATCTGGAAATACTTTCTCCCGGGCTATGGCTCATCTCCTCATTCTCTTAGTCGTGTCTTTGAAGAGAAGTCCAATTTCTCAATTTATTCTTTCATGACTCATGCTTTGGGTGCCGTGTGTGTGTCTAAGATATCTTTGTCAAAGATATAAGGTCATATACATATATATATATGTATATATTTATAAGGTCACAAAGGTATTTTCCTTGTGTTCTTTTTTTTTTTTTTTGAGACAGAGCCTCAAGCT